TTTGATCATCATGAAAATTAGAAATATGCTAAACAGAGATTGATTTTCTTTTGTGCATGTGGGGTTGTGTAAATCATATGACGATTCGTTTAAGTTAGAAGGGTTGACTGTTCAAACTAGTTCTTGAATGTACTAATCATCACCTAATTTTTCGCTTCTTATGTAAAAAATATCTTTTAAATCTTGTTTCTTTCTCACCATTTATTCACAGATCATATTTTTAATCACAGAAAAATCCACCAACACTAGTGATAGTTTTCTCAAGGATTTTTTGGTGCAATCCTCACTAAAATGTATGAAGTTACGCTTATCATCACAAAATTTATACTCATACGGTCGGTCGTTAGGCGTTTGTTTGACCCCACTCAATACAAAAACAGCACCTTGAACTTCTAATGTATTCACTGATATACGGTGCGAAGAAAGTTACTTAGTTCTTTCAAAGCACTTGAATGTATAACTTCTGAAAAGCTTATTTGTTAGGATTAGCAGACAAACACCACCTAGTTAATATTTAGTAAGTGCGACTTAAGTTGATATTATATACATTCAGTGATTGGTTTTCGAATTTTAAATTCGTAAGGTGAATCTTGTGATATTATTGAATGAAATGGTTACGAAGTGCATTATGCACGGAGAGTGGGTCATCTCTACCCAACATAATGAAAAGACTGGGGGAAGAAAATAATTCATTGAGTACAGTTCACTGCTCTTAGCTGAGCACTCGGCAAGTTCTCAATCCTGGTCATAAAAATAGAAGCTACTACAATATCTTTCATTCAAGATGGTAATACTTAATAGCATGTTAAAATAGGCTGTCAGAATGGTTCCTTAAAGCATAATTACCTAAAGCAGACCACTTATAACAGTAAGCTTTTAAACTGTTCTTGTGATATACTACGATTTGACTGGTACTGTTTCAACCAAACTCTTCCTCTATATTTGCTACTTTTTTCACCTCAATAGCCAACTTTAAAAATCGTATATTTTATTTTGTGTCCTTTGGTGTGCCAAGTGCAACAAGCATTCAGTCCTTATATGCTGGATTCAGCAGCAACGGACATCTAGAAGGGGATTTATTGTAGTGTGAACATCATAGTAGGTGAACTTTTAGATTACTACTTAGCCCTGCTTGAGATAGAAAGGAACTGGTATTCTAAACATTCTGCGCAGCATTAGTATTATTCATAGTGCAAATAAGAAGCACCTTGTCCAGTACTGCATTAGTAAATCGACACAACTTTAAGCAGAGGTATTCAAGAGTTCTCCTTTGTAGTAATAAGAAATGATATGTAATAAAAAGGAGTGAGTTCAAATATATGTTACTAACCAGCAATCACTCACTTTTAGTCACTTCTTTCTGCATTCAATCATATCTCTTGATTTTGACTTTATAAGCATTTATGATTCTTCAAACGACTGTTTTAAATACTGACATTTCGAAAAGTCTAAATAACCCATTGGTTTAATTACAATACTCTGCGATAATAGGATCGTTATGAAACGGATACGTGGTGGTTTATGAGCTACTAACTATTCAGGTTATTTCAAAAACCTACTGCTTTTTAGTGCTAACGTTTCACATAGCCTGTATTTTACATTTAGAATTATTCATACAACTAATGAAAGGTATTTTATAGGTGAACATGTTTTGAGGTTAGCTCAGTGTTTAAGACTCATAAAGAAATACTAACTATTCGTTAATTTTCAAGTGAAAAGGTATTTTCTAACTAGTATGGGAAATATATCTGAAAATATTTCGCAGCAAATTATTTGGTTAATTAATAAACTTTATCAAAATTTGTAAATGTAGAATGGAATTAGGTTGCAGATATTTCCTTATTGCTTGTTGATTTCTGTCTGGGAAATCTAGAGAAGTCCTCTTGTTTCCATATGAGGCATCATAGTTTTAATTATCATTGTATTGCTCAGTAAATCAATGGTTCTCAGTGGTCAGTATGCGTCAGCAAAGGATATTTTAAAAGAAATTTTCTGACTTCTGAGCTAACCAGTACTCATAACAGCTCATTCAAGTAATCTTAATTTTTGATTTGTAATCATTTTGGTGTGATGTCATTGATTTTCACCACTCTATGCAATGCCATATATTAGTTAATTGCTTATAGTAGGCTGGAATGGACCGTTTGAATTCCAAAAGAATTCAAAACAAGTATCTTGTACTCTCAAATCCTCAGGACTCTTGATCAGCCATTAGTGAAGAGTTCCCCGGAGATCTAAAGGCTTTTGGTTTATATCCTATTACAACGATGACTTCCAACTTCAGCCATCTATGTATAAATGTTACTCATAACAATGGCTACTTTAGTATATGTATATATTTAGTTCATGGTTTGTACGGATTTGCTATTTGGAAGGTGGTTTTTATCATGCATTTATATCGCTTGGAGAATTAATGTAAACCTCTGGATTCTCGACAGTTGTCTCGTTTTAGTTTGGGACTCCTTAGCAGTGCGCCTGTGCAGCCTAGTGATGAATGGGACCCTGAAACGTCAAGTATCACAGAAAACACCTTACCATTCACCCACTAGGCTGTAATTTAATAGCTCACTATTTCCTGCTTCTGTTAATTTGGGATATAAGCCAACCATCATCCGATATGATTGCTGGGAGTTCCTGGTGAGGTTGTGGGTACTCACTACTGAGGGTCTTAAACTAGGATGAAACAACTCTTTAGTGCTCTTGCGTTATAACTCACCCGTCAGTCGGTATCAAAGGTGATGAAAACTCCTTATATATGTACATATGTCTGTGTGTAAGCTGAAATCAGGTCCATTGGGAAGACGATTTAAAGAGCCTAAAGAATCTGATGGCATTAATATATTTAACACAAGCCATCTGATGGATGCAGAGTTTTCTATGTTGTATCTGTAGGGAAAGTAAATTTCTCGATTATGATTATTTTTGTTATTCGGTTCAACTGTGGATCACAACTACCTTTTAATTGTTTTTACCCCTCAAGGAAATGTTTGAAATTCGAAGTTGATTTTTGATAGACTAGCCATAATTTATTTTCTGCTATGATTTTATCGGTCTGCTAAGATATTTACTTCATATACTACTAACTACTGATACGTCTGGCGATAACAGCAGCTACTTTTTCTGCTTCTAAACAGTAACTGGTTTCAGGCACACACCACGTTACTTTACTCACTGTATGTAATGTAGGTTATTCTTGCAAACTCTCTATTAAGTCACTTTAGGAAAAAGAGGGCTCAATTACCGGTGCGTTACTGTTTGGGAAATGTATCTTTCCGTATTACGTTTAGTTTTATTGAATTTATCAGTAGCTGTTATCACACTGACTTCCTGGATAATAGTCTGGATACCATTCTAAGTCCCAGTGATAAATACTCGTTCAATAATGAACGACAACGGAAATCTGTATATATGTTTAATCTTATTCGGAACTTGTCCAGTGGGTAAATGTACTTCCACTTGTGTTTACACTAAAGTAAACACCTTCAAAGGGTAGGGAGTTATACATTGGGTTGATGAGATAAAAGAAAGCCATGCTTATTAACACTTCCTGGGAGGAAGATACATGCATTCAAACGGTCTTAAATGAGACTGAAGCCACATTTAGAATTACATCAATATCCATTGGTACACAAATATTACCAGTCTCTCAGCCTCTGCGCATGCTGAGTTGGTAAATGATCAATCTGTATTTTTGAAGCCGAAGTATTTATAGCAGTTTGGTTAAATGAAACAGCACTGAAGAAAAGTACCTAACTTGTAAGACTGAACGCATGTATCATTCTAACCAAAAAGATTTCAAAGCGTAGGTTGGAACTACTACGACCAGTGAGCAATTTTTGAAGGTTTGTACTTTGGAAAGGTACAAATATACCTTAAGATTACATTCGTTTTTTGACGGAACTAAAAGAATGATTTCTTTTCTTTTTGTAACGTAGCTCTATTTTAGTTGAGAAACTATGCAATAGTCCAGTTTAAAGAATTATGAATTTAAATAAGTGATAATTATCACTATTTTATGTTTGTAACTGTTAGGATGGCCTGTGAGTTTATATTCGCAACTTGCAAGGTTCAGTATGCTTCCAAGAGTAACAGCGTGTTGTGCTTATTAATTAAGTTAATTTCCCGCAGCGCTTGAATGTTGGCAGCTACGTTTATTCCAGTGAATAAAGTTAAGTAGAATGAATGAAAATATACCTTACTGTTATGTTTGTTTCTTCCGAAGCTGTGACTCACGCTTTCAACCTTGTGAAAACCAGTCTTAAAGTCACTGTCTCTGGATAAATAGTCGGTTATAATTTTCTTTATTCGCTGGTTTGACAGTTTAGCATGTACCAAAGTTAGTTATTTTGGCTGCGGAGATAAAAAAATCTTAATATTACTTGCTTCGTGGTGGCTAGTGATGTCATTCATTATGTGCATTTCATCCTTTTTGGGATTCAACAGCTACAGCAAACTGTACATCAAAAACATTTTCAAATCACGAAGGATATTTTATATTCGCACTTAAAATTAGTCAAACAAACTAGACCACTTGTACTAACTACTATGTAACGCATTCGAAACCTTACTCATTTCCTTTCCAGTTTCGATTTCTAGACTACCTCACTTCTTCATTGTCAAGTTCCACTGTTTGTCCATTTTCTTTTGTTATTAAATGTAACCACACCATACGTCCGTTCACGTTTCTCTCTTCCCTTCCAGGTTCTTGAGGTCTCCATTAAATTCACACTCTTCTGTACGTCTTCGACAACTACGCGCCAACTTATCTACAGGCTAGACGTAAACCTATTGATAACTGGTTGTTACAACTGTGATTCCTCCTTAAAATAATTTCTCAACAGCATTAAAGTTACGTCAGATTTTTAAAAGAGGTTAAGATCGAGATGCTTACTGAAGTATCGGATGACAGTTAGTATTTCTGCAGCATGCATAAATGATGACAAAATGAATTTTAAGTAAGATGATTTCTGTGAATGAGATGAGAGAATAGGATAACTTACCATTTGTTCTCAACCATGGATTAGCTGAATTTATTCCATTTCCTGTACTGATAACTGTGGCTGCCGATGGTGATGATGATGATGGTGAAGACAAAGTATGAAAACCGGATACAGAATTAACCGTATTATTTACATGTCCAGGTGGTAACCCCATAGGAATGTGAAAATTACCTATGTTTGAACCAAATATGGGATTAGGAACAACCGGTACGGAATGACTATTATTGTTATTATTTTCTTCATCATCATTGTTATTTACTGTACTTGAAGATGTATTGCTGTTGTGTGAATTATAAGTATTTGATGAGGAAGTTTGAAACATATTTAACGGGTCATATAAAGATGATGAGTTACTACCTGAATTATGTGAATTGACCAATGGTGAATGAAGATTTGTCAACGATGATGCAGCCACCGCAGCTGCAGTAGCAGCAGCCAAATTAAAAAGACTCCCACAGTCAGTTGATGAATAGCGTTTACTTAAAAATTCGAGAAATGGATGTTTCTCCTCTTTTTTCACTGGTAATGATGTTTTTGATGCCGGGGTGAATGTATAAGGGAGCTGTTCATTTGTCAAGGCTGATGATATCTGTTTTAAGAAATTTGTATTCGAATAATCATAATTTAGTTTGATTTTACATTGTTGATTTTGTTGTTGCATTTTAATATTTTCATTGGGATCGAAGTTGTTAATGGGATGGTTATAATGCTGCGTGTTTGGTGAAAGAGGAAATTGGCTAGAAGAATTGTTCGTGCTGTTATTCATTTGTGATAAGTTTTGCAAGTACTTTGAATTAAAAGTTTGTGGTAACACTGGAACTGATTCGAACAAGGAGTGATGTTGATAGTTGGGTTGATGTGTATCTGCAATTACCTTGTTTGACGTGCTGTCGGATGTGTTTGTCAAACATGATAAGGAATTCAGTGTATCATACCAAGTAGAATAAAGTTTACTTAATTTAAAATAAGCCGGTTCATCACCACCTATAAATTCATTTTCACTTGTATTCGTTCTATCACCGGGCTCTTTATCCTTATCATTTTCGTTGTCTTTGCCATTATCTCCAAGTATATCACGTATTCCATACGCTTTTATACGTTTTGTCGGTGTAAAGTTCAGCTGTTTAGAGGGAGAGGGGTTAGACATAGTATTAGCTAACGATGTAGAAGTAGCAGCATTGTTTGAAGAACTGTTTGAATTCATATGCATATTAAAGGATAAAGAGGGAGAAGAAGAAGGTGGTGTATAACCCTTCACTGACTCTTCTGTGGCTTTGGCTTCTTTGTCTAATGATTTGTTGCGTAATAATTCCGAAACGAATGTCTGCCATAATGTGTAGGCCGAATTTTCTGACTGTTTCATTATTTTTTCAGTCATTGTATACATTGAGGCTGCTGACCTTTCATGTATATCTGATAAAATATTCATTTGTTTAGTTTGTTCAGGGAATAAACTCGGCATTTGCAGGTTCATAGGAGTGAAAGTTCCACCCACAGCGAAGTCAAATAAAGATACAGTTGAAGTTGTCTCTGATTTATTTGAAGTAGAAGATGCGTTACAAACCGAGTTATTTTCTGTATAACTCTTCCATTTATCTTCTAGTTCATTAGCAAGTGTGAAATCTTTGTTTTTCATGGAAATGTTTAGTTCTTCATTCATATTCGTATTCCTGTGTCCGTCAAACTTTTCGAAGTAGATTTTCAAGAATTACATATTCATTGTGATATGATTTCTTTTTTTCGAGTGAATTTAAATAATTTAAATGTTATTAAAGAAATTCTGTTGTCCAATTCCAACTTTCTAATAAGTATTTTCAGTAAAACACCAAATGTATTATTAGTCTCATATTTTCCTTGTCATGGTTATTTTTGTGTGTTAGTAATCCCGGGGTTTGTTGTTCGTTTTATCAACAGTGGTGGTAATGAATTATTAGTTTTATGTTTGAGTTGATTTACTTCTCGCCGATTAGTGAACAGAGTGAAAAGTATGATGAGGCGATGGAAATGTTTTCTTCTTTCTTTCTACAGTGGATAATTTAGAAAAAACTATGATGGGGGTGCTTTTTCTTATCCTATAGATAAAGTTAAATTAAATAGGTTCACGGAAATAATGGACATTTTCTTCCTTTTTATTAGTTAGGGAGGTGAGGAGAAGGAAATATCTACCTAATGATTGCTGTTGTCACAGTGAAACAACTGTAAACAACGCACTGAAATCTGTATGGTAATACAGCGTATATACATGTACGCATTATACATCTCATTATATGTTCATATGTTCGTTGCTTTCAGGCGTAATACTACAGTGCCTAATTGACTGTCACTGAATGACAAACTATTATTCCATGAAGAAAATCGCACAGTCATTGGTCCAATTAAAAAGTCAGTTGATAGTGTGTAGATAATCGACAACATATTTTGCCTACCACTGATTGGATGAAAGTCTAAAAATGAGGGTAGCAGGATAATAACTAAACTAGGCGTTAAAACTTGTCTGTTATCCATACATCAAGCAGTTAACAATAAAAAGTGATTATATTTATACAAACATTTCATGTCTTAGTTTCAAACTATGTTTCAGATATTCGGATTAGATGCAGAATTTTGAAATTCAACTAAGTGATTTCAGAGATTTGATTCATCCATCTAGTTTAAGTCAGAGCAGTGTCAGCTAAAAGACCCAAAGAAAACCATAGCTGTAGACAGGCGTTGTGCTTGATTTTCTGAAACCCTGCCCAAAAGTCTGGTCGAGTAACTCTATACAACCGAAGAACTCTAAATAATTTAAAAAATGAGGTTTCTACTTTGGTGCATTTAAAGATTTTACAGGTTGTGTCAATTCTTGATAAAACTGGTATCAAAATGAATTAGTTCTTTAAACTAGCAGGTTAAAGATACACTGTATATATATTGATGAATTGTCTGGCAAACGAGATTCTTGGAGTTTCTTTGACTAACTGTGGTAAGTGCAGAAACAGTGTTGCAACTGAAGGTAAGTAACTTCAGGCAAAGCTGAAAATAATACCACGGGTATAAGAGGGTTGAAAACTACAAAAATTGGACTAAATGATATTACTAAGACTGTTCTCGTTTGATTTCATTTGTTCTTTATCCAACTTGACAGTCCTTCGGTTGAATCTGTGTGTTGAAGTGGATGCCAGACGTGGGTGCATGATAAATGTTAGCCATTGCAGTTGATAAAAGATAGGAATCTTATCAACTGGCATACCTCTTTTATCTAAGACCCTACACCCTAATCCTATACTGCTGATGGAATGGTTCTGTTATACACACAGGCTATGTAACACTGGCAGCAGTAGTCAAGTACAAAACTTCTCAAATCTTGCAGTTTTAACAACCATATCTGACAGCCATGTAATATGAGAGAGTGCCTAATACTCAGTACATCCAAGCCGTAATGGATAACCTGATATTCCTTTGGCTTGTCCAGTTAAAAGTTTTGTTTCCATGCTAAGATTTCGTTGACTACCAACTCATTAGAACTGATTCGGTATCTCTAATGAGTCAAATAGCCAACGCTTCAAGCACTTAGTACATTTTAAAGTAGTAAAATATTAGTAGTACAGTGAATTTGTATGATATGAATGCTCAAAAAGTGCTTGCAAATTTCATGAAATTCGACAGCGTAAATTATTCAAGCATTTGCTAATATCAGAATAGATCGTGAGTTTTATTGACAGGCTTTGACTCTGACAGTTTACTTAGCCCAAATTTGTGTAACCTTTGTGTAAATACTTTACTGAAAAATTAAGATAGTTATTATGATTGATTAAGTAAGTGGTTTATCCTAGTGTAACAAGTCAGGTTTCTAGTTCATTAATGCCTTTCGAATATGATCATTTGTCAGTGTTTAATTTTCCGCTAACTTAAAATCAGGATGTAAATAACTCGCTGCCTGAAAAATGTGCAATCTAGTACTTCAACTAGTAGTAAACTGACTGAATGCTTATAGTTGTTTGGTTTATTACCCTTTACTGATTCAGTAAATCATTTCATTTTATTTCGGAATTTTATACCCACTCAAAGCTGACGTTCATGTACTCCTAAGGTCAAATGCCGAACTATCTACTTCCTAAGTAACTTCTTGGAACTCAACCAACAGTAAAGACTTCCTGTTGATGGAGTAATTTTAATAGATCAAAATAATTTTCGTAAAATCCAACTCATTTAGTTTCCGTTAGTAGTCTAGTTTTAAAATATGCAGCAGCTGATTAGGTTAAATTGAAATCTGAAGCAAAATTGGAATTAAATGTTGTCTCTTCTACTGAGAAGTTCGAATGGTTTTATTAACAGTAAGTGAACTAATTGGAGTCAACGTATGTTGAGCTCTCAGAAAGCTCATAATGAACTTGAAATATTCTGAATATTTTTGTTAATTCAGTATTACCCTACTTTCATCAAGAAAATCTTGCTGATTGTGACATTTGGTTCATCAACATTGGTGAATGATGAGAGAAGGCACAGTTTATTAAGTATCGTTATTGAATGAAAGTAATATGTATATCATTTAGAGGTCATTGAAAAAGTCTGATTTTTAAGAAAGGCTTAAACGAGCAATTGACAAAACATACTACATCTATGAAGTCATCGTTAAAATGAAGATGAAGTTCTTGCTTCAAACAGATCTACACACAGATTACAGCATTACAATCCACTGTGTTTATCAACTGATATGCTTGTGTGAACATGAATGTATTGTGAGGAGTAATGATGATATGCATTTAAAAGTGGCTAAATATGTACTCAAATTGTTTCCAAAATAAATGACCTCAAATGATTCGATAAGTGCCGGTGAATAACCTCCATTTCCATCCGTTAACAGATAGACACTAGAACTAGCCCCGAGGTTGACGTCAAACAACCTTTGGCAAAATCCATAAAAGTAATCAGCGTTGAATACCGAAATTGATTCAAGTTTTAGCCACCTGTAAACTTAAACCCACCTTAATGTACACAAGAAACCTCGCCTGGTTAAAGAGTTCACTAGTTACTAGCTGATCCGAAGACCGGGTAAAGAGGGAAAGTTGGGCATACAGCTAGCAACCCTACCCCACAAAACAAACCCAATCGCTAAACAAACTTCAAAGCACAAACAAAATATAAAACATAAAAATAAACTCATTCCTCGCCGTAATCAGAGGGACAAAATGACACCGGTTGGTGAAAACCTTCAGGAAACCAGTCGGCCGATGTGGCTTCTCTATCTCGAGGAAAGCAAAAGTAAACATGGGCATATGGAATGTCCACAACATGTAGGAACCTACCGAGGCTATCCAGATTACAAACGAGATGAGAAGATATGACATGGAAGTGCTAGGAATCTGTGAGGAATCTGCAGATGAGGTGGAAGTGGACTCTACAAACTGTCGACTGGAGAGGAGTCAATAATCCACTCCAATATTGTCACCCAGACGACAACGACGAGCACAGGACACTGAGTTTTCGAGTGACTGTCATGATGTCATCCCCACCTAAGCAGGATCGAAGGCTCTCTCTCTCTCTCTCTCCCTCTCATGCAGTGGGAACCAATCTCCTCCTACAGGATCAGCATCATGACAGCAAGATGGATTTCACTTGAGTGAAAAGGAAGGAAAGTCACAATCATACAATGCTTCGCAACTCTATGCACCTACAAATAATGCAGATGAAGAGAAGGAGGAGGAGGAGGAGGAGGAGGAGGAGGAGGAGGAGGAATTCTGTAGACAACTGGAATCAGTACTGGACAAGACACCAGCCACCACAGATGGCGACATCGAAATTCCAATAGGTGGGGTTGAATGGGAATGAATGGGGAACTGGGAGTGGACAACACAGGAAGAGAAGTCATCATGGGAGGAGAAGCACTCGGTGAGATGTGGAATGAGAATGGAGAACTGTGTGTAGATTTCTAGGCATTCAACGATTTGGTGATTGGAGATGAGGCAGTGTGTACAAGCACAAGGATATTCACAAGGCAGCGACATGGACTTCACCAAACACATCAGATACACTAAAATTCAGATTGACTTCATGTCAATGTGAAGGAAGTGGAGATGCAGCCAACCTACTGGAAACAAGATGAGATCAGGAAGAGGAGCAGATGTAGGTTCACACCAAGGGTTATCTAGTGCAAGGAACCTGCCTTCAAAATCAAGTTGAAAACCTCCACAGAAGTTGGTGATGATAGACCACAGTCCAAGTTGAAAATCCACCCAGAAACTGAAGGACAAAACTAAAAGGGACTTCGCTTCAGCCATGGGAGAAATTGAGCAAAATCTCTGAAGGATTGTGCTTGGAAGAACACTGGAACCCTTTGAAAGCTATTTGGAAGGAAACCTGCATAACCATATTAGGAAGAAATAATAAGCAAAACAGAAAAAGGAAAGGATCCCAACGGACAGGTGGAAACTGATACAAGAGGCAGTGGAGGATGGTGAAGCATAAAACGAATCAGTGCAAGGATGCATGGAGAAAAGAACTGAATGCAACTTATAAAACACTGGACAAAGAATCGAAGAAGAGTGCGCGCAAAGACAAAAGACACTTGTACGACACACTTTCAAGCGAAGCAGAACAGGCTACTGGTAGGAGAGACAAAAACCTTACAACATAATAACAAACAACCACGTTACAAACTGTGATTAAAGAGATCAACACGAATGAGGCCAATGACAGATGGCGAAGGGGAATCAGTTATTATAAAAAGAAGAAACAAAGGAAACAATGGGCTGACCACTTCAAAAAACTCTTGAATCGATCATCGCTACCACCTGCAACTCTTCCAGAAATACCACCAACAGTCCAGCCACAGAACTACAAGTGAGCACAAGCCATCCGACAAAAGCACAAGTCATGGATGCCATAAAACTGCTGAAATTCGGGAAAGCAGCAGGACCAGATGGAGTTCCTCCAGAAACACTGAGAACAGATGCAGGGACAACAGCGAACATGCTCACACCACTATTGCAGAAGGTCTGGGAGGAAGGAGAAGTAGGTACCTGGCAACTGGAAGAAGGGCCACCTTGTCAAACTCCCGAAGAAGGGCGACATAAGTCTCTGCAAGAACATGAACTGGCGCGGAATCATGCTCCACCACTGTCCACCCCAAGCAAAATATTATGTCGTATCATGCTGGAAACACTATGGGATGAGCTGGATTCAAAACTACGACCGGAACAGGCTGGCTGGCTGGCTTCAGGAAGAACAAATCATGTGTGGATGAAATTGCAACGCTGTGCTACGCATAATCGTAGGACAGAGCATAGAATGGCAATCAACTCTCCACCTCAACTTCATCGACTTTGAAAAGTCCTTC